CTGCTTTTTGTTTTTTAAGCCATAAGGGTAAAACTACCAGTGGAATAAAATTAGAATGTATAACTTCTAAATCATTCAAAAGAAAAAAATTGCATGATCTAAGAAAATGTTCAGGAGATCACAGCAAGTGAAAAACGGTAAGTGGAAAATCACTATACAAAATTATATACACAATATGCCCCAACTTTTAAAGTATGAACATATAATAAAACCTGAAATAAATACATGAAAATTTAACAATTGTTGACTATGGGTGACTGTACATCATTGTGTGTTTTCTAAATATTCTACAATGAGCATTATTATTTTTATAATCAGAAAAATCCAACATAAAAAAGAAGTATGGTCCCAGCTTACCTTTCAGAATTCAACTGACCAGTAACCTCACCTATCTAGAACACAACCCATTATCAAAAATCAAGCAAAAAGTACTCTAAGCAGCCAACATAGAAGTCACAAAGGCCACACCTAAAGGTTTGGGTACTGTGTTCATCAACAAAGCCTTTCATACCTTCTTTTACACATATCTTAATTCCAACAAACTTGATTATCTAATGTTACAGTAACATTGGGAATAGAGATACACCGAGAAGAGTTGAGAGTGATTAACCTGGCCTAACAGTAGAAAGAAAATGACAGAAATAAAAATATTAAACAGACATAGACATTCACAAAGCAATCCAGGTGTATTATGGCAGAAACATCCCTGAATAACTCAATATATTTCTGAAAGTATGATAATATATATTCACTATAACAACTCTGAGTTATAGTGTTCTGAACATAGACTGGTTGGCCGAGGAAGTGAGAAAAGTTCCTAATGCATTTTAGAAAAACAAAATGATCACAAATGCTTATAATTAAAAAGTTAGAAAGCTTAAATAGAATATCCTCAGTTATCCAGAGCAAGTCATGCCTTTGAGTTCCACAGAGCTGGAGTTTTACTATGTTAATAGGATTTTATGGTTGGCTGCATCGACCAATACAAATCTGGAGAACAATCTGGAAGGAAATGATTAATGACTGTTTCTCTCCAAGGAAGTTTAAAAATAAGTAACCATAGGCATATCAGAATCAGGATTAACACAGCAATTGCTACTAAGTGCAACCAGGTTGTGGATGTTATTTTGGCTTTATTCCATATTCCAAGCAAGACTTAGGTTATTTTGTAGGTAGTTGGTCCCTGTTAGCTACCAGAGTAAAGTCAGAAGGTCCAATTCCATCACACAAGATACACTGTGAACCAAATAAATATTCTTCCTCCTTCATACTTGCCTCTTGTGCTTCTGACTTCAAAAGCCAGGCTAAAACGACAAGGAAGAAACTGATTATGTTTATATCTGTGGAACAAAGATTATGCAAACTGCCAGCACCCCATTGTTTTTGTTTTTAGCATGGTTATCACAAAACAAAAACAAAAAGATAACCTCTGTGTCTGAAGCCTGGTTATTTGAAAACAGACCTGAATATTTCCTCCTCTTTCAATAATGCAGTTAAGGCCTTTATTTCACTTATCTATAAAATACTTATTTGCTGATAGAGTCTAGTTACTATTTCTATATGAGAGCTTGAAGGAAGATATTTCCTGAGTTACTACTCTAGAAGCCTCCCTCTGCTTTAACATTCACCAAAAAGCCAAGAAAACTTTTTTTTTTTTTTTTAACTCCACATTCCTATAGGGCTAACAAGAGAAAAGTATAATCACAATCTTGGTTAATGGCCCCTTAGCACTCTGATCTCTCCAAGCTTCTATTTGTCTTTTATTTGTTTCTTTTTCTTTTAAATAACTTTACTGGTTGTTTTCTCCCAATTACAAAAGCAATACATGGTCTTTGTCACAGTTCAAACAACTAGAAAATGTATGAAATATAATTAATATCTCTCTCTCTCCCACCCTCTCACTCCCCAAGAAAAACAATGTTAACAGCTTGGTAAATATTCTTTCTTACTTCTTCCTAGACTTGCACAAACATATATAACATAAAGGGTTTTTTTGGAGGGGGGGTTGTTTTCAGACAAAATAAGATTATATATATATTACTGTGCACCTTACTTTTTAGTCTTAAAAATCTATTATGGAATATATATATATATATATATATATATATATGTATATATATCTATATCTCCATCACATCCTTTTAATGGCTGCAAAATATTCCATAAGATGAATAATTCATTCATATAATCGCCCGACATTTCCCAACTCATGAACATTTAGGATGTATTCTTATATACACTTCATGTCCTTTAATTTCAGTAACACATATTCCTAGAAGTGGAGTTTCTGGGCTGAATAAAACATTTTCAAATGTTTAAAATTTTATCCTTAAAGAAAATTAATTTTAGAGCTTCAGAATTTCTGCTCCCTTCTTCACTGTGTATAATTTTGGCATTAACCTTTCACAATGCTTTGCATATTTTATTTTTTAAAGCATACACATTATGTCAAAAACACCCCTGTCATTTATGCCCATAAATAAATAAATGCTTAAGTTATGGCTGTGATGACCAACATTAAATCACTGTGCAAATGCTTATGCCTCAGTTTATGAAAGCAGTAATTCATTGTGGAAACTCCACCCCCACAGCCATGTGACAGCACTAAAGTGGCAGCCTTCTTACCCTGTGACTCCCTCCACTGAGTAAAGATATAGAGATCAGGACCTAACTGTCAACAGTCAACCTTAAAAAGCATGTGTGTATAGTAGGGTGCGGGTGGGGGGCTGGGGGAGACAAGTAAACAGCAAAATATGCTAAATTGATAGCCATTATGGGTTTCTAATACCCACAAATTATCTGTAGTACAATGAGTAATTCTGTTGGTCTACACCAGAGACAGTGTTACATAAAAAACAAAATCTATAACCAATATGTTGCTATAATTACATGAACCTTTCAAAAACATATTCTTCAAACATTTTTCAATAGAATTATTGGTTGAATCCCACCTTTACATTTTTTTCTCTACTTCAGATTCAGACTCTAATTGCAATTAATCTCCATTCACACCCTGCTCTACTTGTCAGCAAACAAAGGTTCTGCTTTAGAAGGAGATCTGAAGACTTCAATTAAAAACAGTCAGCTAACAAGAAAATAATCTAAGCTAAAGGAAGGTGGCAGGTGCAGAAATGAGTTGTTTACCAAAGTGTCAGTTTTGAACAATAAAGAACTGCACATCAAAAATGTTGAAGGGGTGGGTTTCATTGCTAGTCTGTGAAAATAAAAAGGAATTTTCTACCAAGGCTGCACAGAAAATGGAAATAAGGTTTAACAAGCTTGTAAAATAGGTTTCCTCTCATCAAATGACAGATACCAATAAAAAGAATCACTTGCTATTTTTAAATTTAAATGCAAGGGCAGAATTCAACTTTTTGCCACAGTTCCTTCTCTCCTGGAAATCAGACACTTACAGCCTTTCTTTCTACATCTAACAGTAAAATGTAGCAAACCAAAGGGAAGGCTGGATGGCTGCTTAGACACTCAGACGGTGCTCTTTTATACTTTCTACTCTGAAATTTTACATTTATTCAGGTCATGGATTTTGGAATCTTCACCTCAAAAGAAATACCTAGTTGACAGCTTTTACACAGAAACACTCCAGAATGGAAACAGTGCTACAGAGACCAAAAGGACTTGCCAAATATTTGATTAGGAGGCATTTATACCAAGATAACAAGGTAATGGAGATATAAAACCAATTAAATAGAGAGAAACTGGAAAAAAAAAAAAATACCACTTGCCAAGAGTATGACCTGCCCAAAGCAGGCCATCTGTTAAATATATGTCAAAAATGTTACTGAGCCCTAGCCAGTTTGGCTCAGTGGTTAGAGCATCAGCCTGCAGACCAAGAATCGAGTGTTCGATTCCGGTCAAGGGCATGTACCTCAGTTGCAGTTCGTTTCCGGTCGCGGGGGAGGCAACCAGTCGATGTGTCCCTCTCACCTCGATGTGTGTCTCTCTCTCCCTCTCTCCCACCCTATCTGAAGATAAACAGAAAAATATCCTGAGGTGAGGATTTAAAAAAAAAAAAAAAGTCACCAGGATACCAAAAGGCTTAATTCTGAGCAGTATCCTCCTGGACTCCTGCCAGCACAGATTCTAGGCCTCTGTCTTTTCAGGAAGGTCAGTTACAGGAAAGCTAGCTACTTTCACCAGAAAAAGTGTGAACTGAGCAGAGGATATTGCCCATTAGCAAAATGTCTCTTTGGAGTGTTAGAAGGATGTGTTGAGTGTTAGTGAGCATGGCCTTAACTCTTCTTAAAAGGACTGCTTAGGCACTAGAGTTCGCAGGTGAACACCCCACAGGGGGCACTTCTAGAACAGGAAGTAGTCTAATCCTGGGGGTCAGCCTACCCTGGGTGGATAATGAGACCCCAGAAATCTGCAGGCTGGTGAAGGGGGGAGCTACCCTGGGTGGATAATGAGACCCCAGAAGTCTGCAGGCTGGTGAAGGGGGGAGCTTCCCTGGGTAGAAGATGAGACCCCTGAAGTCTGCAGGCTGGTGAAGGGAGGCCATGGATTTCCACGCTGACATAAACTCACATTAGCCCCCAGGCCTTGGCCCCAGGATCCCACGAGCCCCTCACAGCCCCCTTGAGAGCCTCGGGAGCTCTAAGCTGGGGGTGAGGGCTTTCTGTAAGAGAAGAGGGCGCAAACCTACAGAGCGGAGAGAGTCCCCAGGAGAAAGCGACAGGCTGAAGGCCGGGTGGCACGCGGGGGTGGCCAAGAACCTGGCCTGAAGTTGTTCAGAAACCTGGGAGGCTAAGTGGAGGGGCGGCGACGCCTTGGGGGGAAGCTTGTGGAACTGAGGGGACTGAAAGGGCCGCTGAGGTGGGAACACGAAAATCTGTCTTTGCAGGGTTGAGGACTCTGGGAGTCTCGAGGGTCTAGAAGGCGGTGGTGATGGAGCTGAAGTGAAAGCCCAGCCCTGGGAGGCGCTGGCATCTGGCGCCTTCAGCTCAGCACTGGAGGGACTTCCCGGAGGGCCGGGGCGTTACCTGCCAGGAGCCAACGGATCTCCTCGGGGAGGACGGCGGCGGCCTGCATTTGCGGGGCGGTGGGGAGGCCGAGTGTGAGGCGGGAGAGGGGCCGTGAAGGCCTGGTGCCGAGGCGGGCGCGGGAAGGCAGCGGGCGGCGAGGCGGAGGCACCTGTACCACTGCTGGCCGCGCCGCCAGCGCCGCGGGGCCGAGCCGCAGGGCGGGACCGCGCTCAGGAAGCGGCGCGCGCAGCGGGCGGGTGGCGCCCGGGGCGAGGGGGGAACACCTGTGCAGGGTGCGCGCGCCGGTCCTGCCTGCCCCTGAGGGGGCAAGCCCGGGGGGGGGGTGGGGCGCCCAGGCTGTGCTCCTCAGACCCCCCACCCAAACAAAAAACTAACGGCGACTCCGAGGAACCTCGGCTCTTGGAGACTTCTCATCCTCAGCTCTGGACAGTTGACCGCAAGGGGCAGGTGTAAAGGCCACAGTGGTGCCCGGAATGGGGCACCGGGAGGGCAGAATCTGAGGAAGAGACTGGTCCCTGCCAGGCCTAACAGCACTCAGTTCCCAATCCAGTCCCCACGTCCACACCCAGCAAGTGCGCAGAACCCTCGCTCTTTGGGGCAAACCAAGATGTTTAAAGGGAATGACTGTAAGTTCCCAGTGAATAATACAAAGCCACCAACACTTCAGAGAATCAAAGTGATGGACACAGGGAGCTAAAGTGTCCCTTCCTCCCTAAGGCTGAAAGGATGTTTGGGAAGGAAGGGGTGACCCAGGGAGAAAGCTGGGAGCAGGGGAACCCAACCTTTTCCCTCTAAGAGCTGACCAAGGGCAGAAAAGTGAAGGACAAGATCACAGATGAGTGTTCTTTCTCATTCACAGCACAGTAGGTGTCAATATCTTGGTGTGACGCACACTGTAATGTTGCAAGATGTTACCACTGGGGAAAACTGGTAGACAGGATCGCTCTGTATGATTTCTCATAACTTCTGTGAATATGCAGTATCTCAAAATGGTTTTTTTTGTGTGTTTTTTTTTAAGTACAATAGACCAAGTGCCATGAGAAAGTATAAAGTGCCATGGGTGTTAAAAGGAGGAAGATGAATATAAGAAAAGGAGGAAAGTGCCACGTATGTGTTTAATGGTTCATGTGGCTTTTGAGATGGGCTCTGAACACCTCAGGCTTTGAAGAGGCAGAAGGGCTTTCCAGGTGGAAGACCCAGAGTAAGCAAAGATGGGAAAGCCTGCTGCTTGGGGAACAGTTAATAACCCTCTTTTGCTGGGTGATAGACAGAAATTATGGTTATCAAGAAAAATGAAAGTTCTATTGTGAAGGGACTTGAAAGTCAGAATGAGGGTTTTGAACTCAGTTGAGTGGGCACTGGGGAGTCACTGACAAATTTTGAGCTGGGGAGTGACCTAACCTGAGCCCCTCTGTAGTGTGTGATCGCAAACATCTCACTCCACCTCTACCCTTTTTATTCTTTGTGAAAAATGGAGTTTCTGTTCTCAGACTCTGCCTACAGAATATGTGGGAAGGATTGAGAGTGGCGAGAAATTCATGGGGTAAATCAGTTTTACAGCGGCCTCAGGGGAAATAATGATGGACAAAACCATGAATATGGGAACAGGAGCATCAAGGAGAAATTGTCCAGAAAGACGTATGGTAGCATGCCTGCCTCCTGGCATAGTTTCCTCTCCAGCGATACAGTCTCAAGGTTTGGGGGCTTGATCCTTTAAGGGATGCAGTAGCTTTGAGCACCCTTACAAGTCTATACCCTAAAGAGAAATGGTGCCTTGATTTCAGGGTCACATGACCCACTCACAAGTTGCAGCAAATTGGGGGTGGAGGAGGACAGAGGCTGGCAGGAGTCTGGGGAATCTGGCTCCTGCTACTCCTCCTTTTTGCCCTGGGAAAGTTAACCGCAGGCATGCTGCCTCCTTCAGGCTTCAGGGCAAATACCAGGTTCCTGCTGGCACATTTTTCACCACACTCATTGCTGCTTCTATACAATTGTAGCTGCTCTGGAATTATTTCTGAGTACTTCTGATATGTGTTAAAAAGCAAGAGAGGATATACTGGAACTCTCTGCACTATGGTTGTAAATTTTCTCTAAATCTAAAACTGTTCTAAAAAAAAATTGCAAAGGAAACAAAGTCCCTCCTATACATAACCCCAGCACTTGGCATTGCTTCCCCTCTCAGCAATGGAAGGAAATTTGACAATTACCCGCTGTTCTTCAAGGATATTTTCAGATGCTAATATAGGCTACAAGTTAATGAGTTGCTTGATAAGGAGCAATAAACCCAGGTAATTGCACATCCTCTCCTGTCATAGCATACTTATACTGGGGCATGCAGGAGAAACTCATGGAGCAGGTATTGTACATCCATTCTAGGTTTTAGAGAGACAGGGGTAGAGGGAGGTGCAGAGTTGGATAGTGTGCAGTGGGTGACTGGCAGATTCCAATACGGCATTGTCATGTTACATCAAGGTTCCTTATTGCAGACAGAAACCTGCCTCCACACATGAGCACAGCCCCTCCTTAATCATCTGAGGACCCTGGTTCAGCAGTCAGCCTCACTCCTAATGACATTCTGTTAAATGGACAAATTCCTTTGAAGCCTTGTCCTTCTTTGAAATCCAATTTCGCAGGAAGCCAAATCTGATTGGGGGTAGCCATGGAAACTACACAGAGGAGTCTTAGAGGAGGTGGAGAGAGGCAAGGCAAACCGTGATAGTCAAGAGTCCTTTACTGCTCTGTCGGAAATATCAAAGGGATCTGGAGAGGTTGGCAGCAGACGAGTCCCTGCCCAGGTCCTGTTCTGTGTGGCTGGGTACCATGTGGCTGTCATGAAAGTAAGCAGCCAGCTGTCTCCACACACAGGCAGGGGGATGGAGCAGAATACACAAATCCCAGGTCTGTCTGCTTTCCTTTCCTTCCCCTCCCCCCAGCCCCAATTCCAGCAAGATCTTAGCACCCCCCCCCTCTCAGTTGTCTGGCCTTTAAAGACAAACAACAAAAGAATGACAAGGTTAAAATACAAGGCCCTCACAGATAAGAGGTCCTTTGGAGCAGAGGCCACAAAATTAATCTGAAATTCCTTGTAATTAGATAAGATAAGGGTATCTAAAGAGATGCAGAGCAGGCAGGAATGGAGTCCAGCAGCAGAAAATATACTGCCTGGTCCACCAGGGCCCCTCACATACTGTCAGCAGACAGAAGACACAGAAAATAGGGCCCACACCAGCCTCTGGGCTGCTTGGAGATGCCGTCTACATGTTCTCATGCCAGGTGGGCACTCACTAAATATGCATCCATGGGGTGTCCAGAAGGCTTAATCAAGAAGAAACAAAAGCATCTGGCACCCAGAATGGCATTGGGTGGGAACAACTGCAAGCAAAGCACAGGCCAGCTGGTATTGCTCTGCCCTGGGCAAAATGGGTCTAGAGGGGAGACTTTAGAGGGCAGTCTCTTGGGCTTTATTCTGAGCTGGCTATTGATCCCTGGATGCTGGGTCATGACACACAGCAGAGCTGACGTCTGCCCTGTGGATCTGCGGCCACTGCATCTCAGCCCCTCAGTCCCAACCCCATCAACTGGGTTTATTGACTCTTTTATTGACGATGCTGGGGCCTAATGAGGACAAGAGCTGCACACTTCATTAAGGGCTATGGAAGGAGAGATGATGCATTCTGCCAATGCCAAGAAATGTAAAGCACTGCTGCTTTACAAGGCCCCAGAAGCCAAACCTCATGCTACTCCAAGGCAGAGGAGACAGACACAGATGCTCACTTGGGTGCACCACTTCAGTGGCCTTAAAGTGCAGGGTTTCCATAGTTTCCCAGAAGCCTTGTTCTTACTAATTAGCTAACCTTTCGACTTAGGGGGGGGGTTCCTATTATACATACACTTACACAAATGCACTTCAATGGTCTCCCCTTCCAGTTCACACTCCTACATCCTCTGCACTGACACAACGAAACAAGCAGGTTCTCCTATTGTTTTAGGGAACATTCCCAAAGCAGGTTTTCAACAAGGCACAGGCTCAGAATAGAACAAGGAACTATTAAAACTCAAAAGAATCTTCAAGGTGATCAAATTCAAGGTGAGAAACAAACCCAGTGTTCTGTCCAGGGCCACCCAGCTCATCAGGGGCTGCATTGGCATTAGAATCCCAATGTTCCAAAACTGATCCAAAGCTCTTATAGAGCTGAACATCGGAGATGGATAATTACAGCCCAGGGATCACTGAGCAGCTCTGCGAAGCAATCATTGCTGGGCCCTCTCCATCTAAATAGTAACATGTCTTTCTTTGTTCTTTATCTTATCTTTCTATCAATACCCTTATTATTTTCCCTATATTCTCCAATCACATTTTTAAAAATCTACTTTGCCTATCCCTGAGACCATGTTAGACATCCCCCATGGGCACTGCTGAGCCCAGCAGAAGCCCTAAAGACCATAGAGGTTGCTGACTCTGACATTCTCTATCTTTGATTGGTTCTCTTGGGAATCTGAAGTGGAGGGAGGATGGTGGCACACAGATGTGTCAGCTAGCCAGATGAGGCTGTGCACACTGAGTGAGATATGCAGCAGTCTATGAGGTTAATCTACACGAAAGGCAGGTGGGGCCAAGGTAAATTTTATAGGCAAGATATTTGCAGACTTGACAACTTTGGAAAACTATATAGAAGGAATAACTATTTCTTTTGGGGTGATTAAGGAGATTAAAGTAAATAATGGAGAACAATTTTCTAAGGTTAAACTGGTTTTCATTGGTTTCTTTTCATTCGTTATTTCGAAAGGTAAAAGTTTAAGCTCCCTAAGCGCCTCTCTTTTTTCTGCCATTTCTTCCCCCTCACTGTACTACAGGTCTTAGAATTCAGGGTTAGAATTCTAATCAGAATTCTGCCCCTTGGATTCAAGGTGAGAGAAGGGGCAGCTATTTAGAATTTAAATAGCCCTGGCCTGCCTGGCACATGCACACACATGCTTTGGAGGAATACTCACACTAAGAGCTGATGCAATCTGAGCAGATTCACCAATGTTCACAAATACCAACAGAA